TGAACTGCTTACATTGTGGTTAGCAGTCCAGTGCTTATCCTACAATGCCACACCAGTATTCCAGAACCTACAATACAACCATGGAAATAAAATATGCATGACACTAGTACAATGTCAGATACAAAGATCAATGGAAGTAATTGAGAATCTAGCAATAAATCCATCCAACTATGGACAGCTGGTCTTTAAGACAGAGTCAGAGTCTATTAAGTGGGGAAGAAATTGTCTCTTGAACAAATGGTGCAGGCAAACTAGATATCCATTGGCAGAAAAATTAAGACTGGAACTCAACCTCACACCATACACAAAAAGTAACAAAAAATAAATCAAAGACCTCAAAGATAAACCTAAAATTGTAAAGTTTATGGAAGATAATATGAGAAAAAACTAAGGGCACTAATTGATGGCATAAATATATTGCAAACCTAAATAAAAATGTACAAACAGCAAAACTTCCAAATAATTGAAACACATGCTCATCAAAGACCTCACCAAAAGAGTTAAAAAAGTACCTACAGACTCAGGGGAATTTTTTGCAATGGCATATCTGACAAGGAATTAATCTCTAAAAAATTATAGAAAAAACAATCATTTCAACAACAAAAAGGACAAACAGCCCAATGAAAAAATGGACAAAGGCCATGAACAGACACTTCACTAAGAAGACATGCAGGCAAATTAACAAACACATGATGAGATGCACACAATCACTAGTCATTAGAGAGATGCAATTCAAATCTAACTGAGCTACCATGTCACCTCAGCAATAATGGCATGGATTAAATAAACAGAAAACAACAAATATTGGTGAGGATGTGGGAGACTGCAACTCTTATCCATAGCTGGTGGGGCTGTAAAATGGTACAACCATGATGGAAAACAGTATAACACTTCCCTAACAACACAAAAATAGAAGTATCATATGATCCAGCAATCTCTTTCCTAGGTATACATTAAGAGCTATGATACCAATAGAACATATACACATCCATTTTCATTGACACATTATTCCCATTAGCAAAAAAAACGGAAACAACCTAAGTGCCCTCAATAGGTGAATGAATAAATATTCTATGGCACATATACATAATAGAATTCTACACAATGTTAAAGAATAACAATGAATCTGTGAAACATCTCACAAGATGTTTGAACCTAGAAGACATTAAGCTGAGTGAAATAAGTCAGTCAAAAAAGAACAAAGGTTTGTAACAAAAACAGGGGAGTGGTTAATCTTTCAGTCCAGAAACAAATGACCCTAGGATCACCAAGGGAGGACAGCACAAGCAGAATAAGAGACCTTATCCAAAGAAGCAGAGACACCAGAGATGGAGACAGAGATGGGGACATGGAGAAAGGGTGCAGCTGAGGACTCTAGATTCATGGGAAGACAGGGACTAAGAGACAGTGGCCAGGAGGCAGACTTGCAGAATGTGCCTTTTGGTGGTGTAAATTATTATATATGCCTGGGTGTTTAAAAAAATAAAGGAAAAGGCTAGATAGAG